TAGATCGGACTCCTAGTGATTCTCCTGTTTTCAGCCTCCCAAAGTGCTGAGATTATAGGGCACACCACCACACCCAGTCTCAATCACCATCTCAGCACGCCCTGGGGGTGGGGCTGGCACAGCATACCAGGGATCGAACCCCAGCCCTCTGCACTTTGCCCAAACTGGTGCATTAGTCTGCTAAGCTATCTGGCCAACCCTCCTTCTTTTTTTCTTGGTTTTTGCCTTTGGAGTTCTGCTTGAGTAATAACTGTATATTTGCTTCTATTTAGTTTTCTGATACTCACTTGTCTTTTCGTACCATAATCCTTGGAACAGCTACATTTTATTTAAAGTAGGGTCCATCTCTGCTTTGTACCTGCGTCTAGATGACCCCATGTGACCTTGCCCAGGGCACCCCACATGGGCAGCGGCCCCCAGTGATGCCAGTACCTCCCTTTGCCACCCACCTGAGTGCTGCCCTCACAGCTCACCCCATCTCTTGTCTCCAGGCACCTGCGCTCGACTGCAGCCACCCCCACGAGGCACCCTCCAAGTCCTCCGTGGAAATGGCACTGCTGTGGGGACCGTGCTCGTGTTCCACTGTCCCTCTGGCCACCAGATGGTGGGGTCTGGCCTGCTCACCTGTGCCTGGAGGGGCATCGTTGCCGAGTGGTCTTCAGGGGTCCCTGTGTGCAAGGGTAAGGTCTCTCTCCCTCCTGAGCTGCCCCAGGAGGTCATACAGATAGCAGTGGCCGACCAGTCACAGGCTGGGCCAGAGCTCATGTCCTGCTCCCAGTGGGCTCGTGGCTAGCAGCGGCCATCCGCCAGTAGAGCTCCACATGTGCAGGGTGCACTCTGGTCCCAGCTGCTGGCTCAAGTCCTTCTGTGCCCTGCTGTGATGCCTGGCTTCCAGTGGCCATAGAGGTGGTTCAGCTGGCACTTGCTCCTCTCTTAAAAGCAAACTATGTTTATTTGTTCATTCTTTTATATCTCATGCTTGTGGCAAACCCTGCTAGGATAATCCACGTTCTAAGAATTCCAGGTACTAGGAACACAGGGCCAGGATATGCCTGCAGTGCTGGAGGTCCTGATCTCAGGAGGAAAGTTGTTTTCTAGTTGCTTACTTTCTTATTCATTCATGCATGCATTTAGACTGGGGACCTTTGTACTGAACTATATCCCCAGACTTTTTTTCTTTAATTTTTTTTCTTTTATTTTGATTCAGGGTCTTGGTAAGTGACCCAAGCTGGGCTTGAACTTGTGGTCCTCCTCCCTCAGCCTCCCAGAGTACTAGGATGACATGCATTCACCTCCCTCTGTGCTGCCTATAATGTACTCATGTGCCAGGTGAATCTCTGAGAATGAGGATATCTGTTAGGATTGTATTCAAAGATGCAGAAAACCCAAAGCAACAGGGTTAACCAAGATAGTGCCTTCCCCTCAGGCTGGGTAGCCAGCTGGGAGCACACTCCACCACTCTGGTCCTGCTGAGGCTCTGCTGTGTATGACTTCAACCTCAGGACCCAGGGAGTGGTCACTGTATTCCAGGCAGAGGTTCCACCAGGAGGGACCTCTAGGGGCCAACGGTGCACCCCACTACCCAAGGAAGATTTTTAGACATTGTCCCATAGTGTCTCTTGCCCCCATTGGCTGGACCCTGGTCATGTCACCAGTAGGACATGGAATCTTCGTTCTAGATGATCAGCTTTCAGCTAAGGAGCAGGGGAAATGGGGCTAGGGACACAAGCTGTGACATCTCATAAAATCTGATAGGACTGTTCTTAGTACCTACTTGAAGTCACAAGCCTGATAAATACAAATGTCCCTTGAGCCCAGTGATAGGCATTTTTCTTGTTTTTACTGCTTCTTGAAAAGTGACCTGAGAAGGCCTCTGAAAGGTTTTGTTTGCTTGTTTTTTGTAAAAACTCCAACAATCGGCTGGACAAATCCTCACTAATGCTTGTATCTGCTGTCATCTGCGCTACAGCCCCCTTTTGCTCTGTAGTCGGGGCTACATTAGGATCTAAGCTCTCTCAGAAGCTCTCCAGCTAGCTACTCTAAACTCCTAAGTACTCTACAAAACCTTGTCCAAATGCCCTCCTCCTGGAGAGTCTTCCTGAAAGCCCTCTTCTCAAACACAGCCTGTACAGACTGTTGCCTTCCCACCAGTGCCTCCTGCCTCCCTCAGCACAGAGCCTACAGGGCACCAGGCCCCATCAGCCTCCAGTCCCATCAGCTCCCACCCCCAGGCCTGGCAGGTCTGAGAACCACCCCAGGACCTGGGTATCATGTCCCTCGTAGCCGTGCCACCCCATGAGACCTTCGGCTTCAAGGTGGCCGTGATCGCCTCCATCGTGAGCTGCGCCATCATCCTGCTCATGTCCGTGGCCTTCCTCACCTGCTGCCTCCTCAAGTGTGTGAAGAGGAGTGAACAGCGGCGCTCCAGCAGGTACTGCGGCCTGGTGACTTCAGGGTCCTCCCCACAGCACCACCCCCCACCTGCCACAGCCGCCCTGGGCCACGGTCCAGGTGCCCTGTGAGCTGCGCTGGTTGGGGAAGGGGTCCTCGTGTGCATCTGGCCCATTCCTGGGAGAGGCACGCATGGAGCGTGGCAGCTGGAGGTGCACCTGGACCTCCGTGCTCCTGAGCTTGTTGAAATGCTGGGAGCGGAGTCTTTTTTTTTTTTTTTTAAAGTACTGGAGATTGAACCCCGGGCCTTCCCACTGAATTCCATCCTTAACCTTTTGCTTAAATTTAATTTTCATTGGGCCAGCAAGATAGCTCAGTGGTCTAAAGCACTTGCTTAGGCAAGCTTAAGCAAATGTAGGGACTGTGGTTTGATCCCCAGCACCACATGCCACAGCAGCTGGCCACACACACACACACACACACACACACACACACACAAATAATAATTTTTATTGTTTTTATTTTGAGGCAGGGTCTCACTAAGTTGCCCGGGTGGGACTCAAATTTGTGATCCCTGTGCCTCAGACCCCCAAGTGCTGGCACTGTAAGCACTGCCACCACACCCCTTTTGTCTTACCCTTCAGCCTGTGCACACATGGTTCATGCCCTGCCATGTTAGTTGTACTCACAGGTGCTGCAACACCCCCACTTTGAGTGGGTGAGTGAGCCTACAGGTTGGCCCACCTAGGTTCTTCCTCCACAGTATCTTATACTTTTCTTCTTTGTGGTAAACTATGCACAACATGAAATTCAACATTTTCATTATCTTTAAGTGGCCAGCTCAAAGACACTAATTGCCGCGGCTATGTTGTAGAGCCACCAGCGCTATCTCTAGCACTTTGCCTGGCTTTGTAAGTAGCTGTTATGGGGCCACAGCCATGCTCACTGCCTACTACTTTCAGATGGCGGAGTTTATCTGTGGCTGATGGCCCCTAAAACACCCACCATCTGGCTCTTGCAGCTGTTTGTCAAGCTGCACACACTGAGAACCTGCCCTGGCTTTGTGTGGACCCCATTTTTGCACCTGTGCCACCATCAGGGATCTGGGTCCCTACTCAGTGTCTTTCCACCCAAACTTTCTCCTCCAGGACAACCCAGATGTGGTACCAGCTGAGAGGCGAGGACCTGGAGACGGTGCAGGCTGCATACCTAGGCCTTAAGGGGAACTACAACAACAGCAGCAGTGGCGGTGGTGGCAAGCCTGAAGGCCGGCTCAGCCAGGCACATGACAACCGCAGCTTCACTACGTAGGTCATCAGGGTTGCTGTGCCTGGCTGGTCTGGGGATGCAAGAGCAGAGACACTGGAATCATAGGATGGTGGAGGGGCCTACAGCCCTAACTAGAAAACACGAAGCTCTTTTCTAGTTGCTTCCAGAATTCTGTCTTGACCATGGCATCTTAGAAATTCTATGCTGTAGGGATATCAAAGCCTGCGGATACAGGGTCCCCAGCTTGGGGGGAGGGTCCCCTCCTCCCTCCTCAGTCAGTCTCTAGCCCCCTACTTTCTCTCTTTCTCTCCCAATACACACGCACACAGATACATTTTTTTTTTTCCTGAACCAATCCAAGGATGCTCCTTTTCTGGCCGATGCCTTGTGGCATGTAGGGAAGAGCACATGTGTTGAAGATGTTCACACTTTGGTCCGGGGTCACATGCAGCACTCAGCCACCAGGTCTCCTGGGTCCTTGAGCTGGAATGGGTTTTTGTGCTTTTTGGCCTGGCTTTTTGAGGGCTCTCATCTGGTGTACAGAGATACCCCCCCCAGGGGGAGGGTCCTGTTGTGTTTTTATGAGACCAAGCTGAGGTGTGCATTTCTGCACATACTACAGGTGCAGGGTATGGGCACAGCTAGGTTGCCCCTGTGGAGAACATAAGTGGGGTCTCTAGATCCCTCTACACCAGGGCATGAAGAAGGGGCTCTGATCTGAGGGCTATGGGTGAGGGGGTGATCCTCAGTGCTTATAGCAGGGTAACTTGCGATTCTGCTATAGTTCCCGTGATGAGCTTTTCTTTTGTTTTGTTTTTTGGTCTTTTTGAGACAAAAGCTCACTATGTAGCCAAGGCTGACCTTGTACTCACTTTGTAGCCGAGGCTCGCTCAAACTTGCAATGATTCTCCAGTCTCAGCCTCCCAAGTGCTGGGATTATAAAGGCATGTACCACCATGCCTGGCTTGATGAGTTTTTGTTTGCTTGCTTTTCTTTCTTTCGTTTTTCAGTTTTTGGTTGTGGTGATTTTTGTTTTGTTTAGCTTTCAGTGCTGGGGGTAGAACCCAGAGCTTTACACATGCATGCTAGGTCAGCACTCTACCTCTGAGCCGTACCCCCAGGCCTTTCTTTCCATTTTGTTTTGTGACTCTCAGCAGCTCAATGGAAGCCTAAATGCTATCTTTTGGTTCCCAGAAAGGGTCCCCTGGGTCAGGGGCCATTACCCCTCTGGCAGGCCCACACTACCTGGTTGGTAGTGATTTTCTTTTTTAAAAAAAATTGTATTTATTTAATGTATTTTTAATGGTTTTTTTTTTTTTTTTTTATGTCGAGGGTCTCACTACACAGCTTGGACTCATAGCGATCCTCCTGTTTTCAGCCTCCCCAGCACTAGGATTGCTGGCATGCACCACCACGCCTGGTCAGGGCCAGCAAGGCATGTGGTGCTAAGGATCGAAACCCAGTCCCTGCACTTGCCTAAGCAGGTGCTTAGTCTGCTGAGCTATCTTGCTGGCCTGGTAGTGATTGTCTAACCAAGTGAGAACCTCACCTTGTCCTGGTTTTTTGTTTTATTAACACTTAGCATCAACGATGTACCAGGCACCACTCTGAGCTCTTCCTAGAGACTGCACACATCTTCACCTTATGTGCAGCTTTCATCCATCACACAGGTGAAGACCCATACAGGTGAACAAACTGGGGCAGAATCACACACAACTGTTAATCTGGAAGCTGGGTGTGACCTCAGCCTGTGTGGCTCCTAAGTCAGCATCTTCACCCACTAAGCTCCCTTTCTCTCCACAAAGTAACTTCTTGATTCATTTACTTATTCACTGAACCACAAATCATATAACTCTTTAATTCCTATGACTTGGTGGAGTTTTCTTGAGAGTGAATTGCAGGTGGGAGCGGTGATCCAAGAGGCTTCAGGGCAGAGGTCTGGCCCAAAGGGGACACTAGGGAAAGTCTGTCTCAGGGGTGACGGGATCTAGTACTCAGGGGAGACATGCAACCTCTGGGAGCAGAGGCCAGAGGGAGGGGCAGCCAGGCTCTGGTCTGCCTAGGAAATGTATTAGTTTGTTTGGGCAGTACAGGAAACACAAGGACACTGAGGGTCTGAGAGGTACTGATCTGGCTCTAGGTGGCCAAAGGGGACACACCTGGTTGGGAAGGTACTGGCCTACACACAGCTGGTCTCCAGTGGCCCTTCTTGGCCTGAGATATCCCTGAGTTAGTTGTGGAGCTATAGTGACTAATGGACACTCTGAATAAGCCCCCCAAAGTCCCTTCTCAAGCCTTAAAAAAGGTGACCTATACCGAGACCTAGCTGGTCTTGGAGGTAAGGGACTGAGGCTTACAGGCCTGGGGTGTGGGGGAAGCAACCCTTGGGGCAGCATGTAGTCTGGGTCCACTGCAGGCTTGGGCCTGGGTCCCTGGGTGGCTGAACCCTACTCCCATCTTCCCCACATGTCTCATGCCTACTATTCCCACAGAGACTTCAATGAAAGCATCCGAGAGCTGGCTGGTGTGACCCCTGGCCTGGACAAAGATCCCTGGATCCTCGAGCCTGGTGCCCTAAGTCCCAGTGGCCCTTCCAGCTCCCCACATGCCCGCGTGGTTGTCCACACAGTGAATCCAGGAAAGACCCTGCCTACCTCCATGTTTACCGCAGGGATGGCCACTCAACCCGCAGCAAATCGACCAGGGTGACCCTGCCATCCAGTCACCCATGACTCCACATGTATCTGCCCTGGAACTGGCCCATGGAATCAGCCTCCAGCTGTAAGGAACCCAAGAGGCCCTTCAGGGAACGCTATATCTGGAAGGAGCCAGGCTGTAGGAATTGCACAGTAATGACTCACTTGAGCCAGCTGCTAAGGTTAAGTGCCACCGCAGCCTCCCTCCAGTCAGGGTTCCTCTAAAAAGACTGGGAGACTTCAGCAGCTAAAGTTTTGCACAGTAAAATAAGAAAACAACAATAAACTTCCTTTTAGCAACTTCAGCTGGTCCCCTGAGTATTCCCCTGGGAGAATACACTATTTTGAAGCAGAGACCTGCCCAAGGCTTTGTATCTGGCGTCTGTCAAATGCCAGCAGATCTTTCTCCTCCTGAAAGATACAAAGGTAGAAATCACTGTTCCAGCTGTCCATCTCTACACAACTACAAAAACATAGCAGCACAAACCTACAATAGTGTGTTGTTAGCTCTTGCTTCTGTGGGCTTCTCAGGCATCTTGCTGGATGGTCCCCAACTTCATCTCTTCTGTAGCAGGTGCCATCTGCTGGTGGCTACTGTGGGTCACACTGAAGGCTGGGTCCCTCAAGATCTGGAATTACTGCTAGCAGTCCGCAGAGGCTTCAGGGAATCTGGGTGGGAACATCTACCCTTACCCTGTGGCTGCCTTGTATGGCCTGGGCTTCCTTCCAATATGGCACCTGCTTTCTAAAGCAACAGTCTGATGCGAGCATGGGCGGAGACTGTTTCAGCTCCCAGCCTTGGAAGTCACTCTGTCACTTCTGAATCCTATTCATTAGGAATCCAGGTAGTCCCATAATCAAGGGATGGGACTATGGACCCTTTCCCATTGCTAGGCAGAAGGAATACCAAAAAGGTAGTGAGCACCTGTAGTTTTAGCTACTCAGAAATCAGACAATAGCTTAAGCTCACAAGTTTGAGACCAGCAAGGGCAACAGAGCAAGATATTTCTAAACAAAATATCACAGAGCTAGAGTGGTAGAGAACATACCTATCATTGTGAGGCACTAGATTCCATTCCTGGTATCTCAAAACAAACAATAGAAAACTAAAACCACTGCAGTCACCTCTTTTTTTTTTTTTTTTTTTTTCGGTACTGGGGATTGAACTCAGGATCCTGTGCTTGCCAGGCAAACTCTTACTCTACTGAGCTATCTCTTGACATGCCTGTGTGGTTGTCCACACAGTGAATTCAGGAAAGACCCTGCCTACCTCCATGTTCACCCCAGGGATGACCACTCAATTGGCCCCAATTCCAGTCACCTCTAAGCCAGCTTTTTGTCAAACAATTTTATAAGAGGATCCTAGGTAAGTATGTTATTGCAGGCCTGTAATTCTCACACTCCAAGAGATTGAGGCAGGAATATCACGAGTTTGAGCCCAGCCTGGGAAATTTAGCAACTTAGTGAGATGAGACCCTTAGTGAGATAAGAGAGAGATAGGGATATAGTTCAGTGGAAAGGTCCAGGGCTCAATTCCCAGTGTCAACAAAAACAGAGTCGGACTCCTACCTTCCCTCATTCCTAAAGGAAACACTTCCTGCAGCAGACCCAGTCTTAGACATTTGCATCTGCTGCTGCACCTCTTGATTCTATTTAAGATGAGTTCAAGGCACATTCAGTAGCTCCAGGTCCCAGTTTCTCTCAATACTGAGCCCCATGTTTGTCCTGGGTCAATTAAAAATATATCTGCAGCCTCATAGAATTTGGGGTGTGACCTGTCTCCAGCCTTTGAGAAGAGTTGACTTTTCCCTGCTTCCTGCCTGGAGGCCCAGCAGCCACAAGGGGGCCATTAGGAGGAACTCGAAGAGGAGCAGATTCCCCTCACTTGCTGCCCCCTGTCTCTGAAGTGGCATGTGTTGGGTTGTTGTGTCACTGACAAATACTAACTTTTGATAGAGTCTGATGGATGTCCGATGATTTATGTGACTAATCTGGGGACATTTGGTGTGTTCTACCTTCTTCAATATCATTTGTAGATACCTTGGTCCCAATGCTCTCCAATTTGGGGTGCTCTTTTCATTAGATTTCCCATGTAAGCTTGAGAGCAGGAGGTATGTTTGGCTTTCCTTGTCCTCCTTGGGGGCTCTAATGGGACACAGCAGGACACTGAGAATAACAGTGCATCCATGGCCCTAGCAGGGGTGCATTTGCCCCAGCCGAGCACACCCCACTGCCTGGAAGATCTGGAATCAGGACTTGAAATCACTCAGCTCTTTCCAGGACTGCAGCAATGCTGGCCAGGGCCTGGCATGTGCAACGAAAGGTTGTGGGTTCCAGCCCCCACAGAGCCCTCCCTATATCCGGCCCCCTGTTCTTGGAGTGTTGGAAGCCAAGATGGCAGAGGGTGTAGACCCTACTACTCAGGGCAGGCTAAGTCCAAGAGGCCTCTCATGAAGGTTTGGGGCTGCAAGTGCAGACCAGTGTTTGTTCCTAGAGCTGAGGTGAAGGACTAGAGTGAAGGGCCCTAACTCCTTAGAACTGGGAGTTACAGAAATGAGTGTCCACTTCGCTGCAGAGAGGTCACAGTGGGCAGAGAGGCAGGAGGAAAAGAAACGGCAGAGGCCTGACAGGGCAGAGCTACTGATCAAGAGAATGAATGGTATGTCAGACCCCAGGTCTGCACATGGCCTGGGCTTGCACTGGGCCAGATAGATGAGTCCTCTCACAGGGTTGTGGAAGCTATGGGACTGTGCCTCAGGCGACAAGGTCGGGGGACAGCTGGCCTCACCTCCCTTCAAGATCCTAGGTGTCCAGTTCTACTAGTACTGGGGCAAGAGGGGGATCACTTAGAACCATGATTTTCTTGCTGTTTCTTGGATGTCCCTGCCCAGGTTGCTATCCACAAAGGCCTCAGCTTACTCTTCCCTCTTCAGTACCTGATGGGCACATGGCTCCTGTCCATGCTTCACTTCTCAGTTCAAAAAACCCAGTAACAGTAACATCTGTTGTTATTATCTGTCAGGATCACTGAGGTTGTACTGCTGAAGCAAACAGTCCCTTAAATCTCAGGGGCTCAAACCACCAGATTCACTGCCTGCTCACAAGTCCCCAGAGCCCATGGTGGGTGGAACAGCCCCCATTTCGGTGGACACACCCACAACAGAGGGCTTGGCCCAGCCACAGCTGCTCTGGTATATAGGAAAATCACCGTTACTTCTCATGATGTGTTGACCAGACCGAACCTGTGACTCCACTCAACCATTATGTCACCAGGGAGTCACTCTTCCAGGGGAACCAGACAGCCATGAGCAACACCAAGGCTAAAGTACCAGCCTCCTTTTTGCTGCAAGTCCTTTGAGACCTAATTCAGCTGTCTCAAATTTGGTGTTGGATGTCAGTGGATATGAAAGTAAAGGTGTTAAAGAAACAGCCTCACATACTGAAAAGGCAACATTCAAATACCAGGGGGCTGCAGGCACAGAATCCTACAAAGAAAAGACATCATTATTCAGCAGAATATCCCCCATACAGGGATAGCGGTTGGGAGAAGGTATGTCTTGTGCACTGGTTCAACAACTGGTTACCTCTGTACTTCATTTTTTCCGTTTTCATGTAGTGGATTATCCCCAAATCCACAGCAACAGCAGCCACCATGCTACCCTTGTATGTACCCTGGTTCTTTTGGTATATTTCCTGGTTCAGCCAGATGGATCTTGCTTGTGTTTCTCACACATGATCACAGTGTGGCAGTAGGGGGTGGCATCTTTCAGAGAGGCTCTTGCTCCTAGGCCTGGTAGTTGAGGGTCACTGTTGCCTGGGACTTTGGCTGGGGCTCTCCAGGGAAATGCTACATGGCCCATGCCTCCTTCTACTGTGGCAGCTGGGTTTCAAGAATCAGCATCTCAATAGAAGTGGGGATGGCAGTTCCTTCAGGCCTAGGCCCAGACCATGCTCCATTGGTGCAGCAGGCCCAGCACTCCAAAGGACCTGGAGGCTTCCTACTTCTCAAGCTCAGTCTTCACTCAAGCCCCACCTCCCAAGTCTCTTCCCATGCAGCTCCAAAGTCTTGGGCAGCCATCACCATTATCCACTCCCAGAGTGTTCCCTTCTGCCTGAACTGAAACCCTGACCCCATCAAACACTAATCCCTATTCTCCAACCTCTGGCAGCCACCATTCAACTGTGCTAGGGGCCTCACATGAGTAGCATCCTACAGTAATTGTCCTTTATCAACTGATTTATTTTGGTTAGCACAGCAGCCCACAGGGCAGCAGCCCCTGTCTTTTTCTGGCACCAGAGATCAGTTCTGTGGGAGACAGTTTTCCCACAGACATGGGTGGGGGATGGTTTAGGATTACAGTCATAAGGCGCACACACTTAGATCTCTCCCATGCACAGTTCGTAGTAGGGTTCATGCACGCATGAGAATCTATGGCAAGCAGTAACCTGCTGGGCAGCAGAGCTCAATTGGTAACACAAGTGAGAGGGAGCAGCACCTTGGCTGTCAGAGTCACTGGGTATGGAGACTGGTCGCCTCACCAGGTACCCTCTACAGCTTACTCAGCCTACCCCTCTTCAGAGCACTAGTCACAACAGTCCCACACAGCTGTGTTTGTGTCCTTTACTCACAGAGGAAGCTATGGAGTGGGGAAGGTTCCATCTGATCTATCTGGGTCAGGGGCTTGGAGACATTTCTTTTTTTTTTTTTATATTTTTTTTTTTTTTTTTTTTATTTTTCAACAAATAATACACTGCATATATTCTTCTTAATGGTTAATTGCTGTACAAGATGCGGACTTGTGATCCTATTTACAAACACCATTAGAACAAATCATTCTATTCATTAACAGAATGTAACTATATATCTATCCCAACCACTTTGAATACACAGATACAAAATGGACATTCATCTGTATACCCCATTTTTTCTAAGTTCCGTTATTGAATATTATAGGTGTGTAAACTCAGCAAAATATTCTAAAAGAGTCCAGTAGCCCATAATAGCATTGGGTCTTCTGTTTAACTGGCAATGTCAGAAATTATTGACCTGAGTCCCCCACAGCTCAACTTATCAGCATGGCTTTATTTCTTATAATTTCGTCTTCATACTTTTCTACTGGATGGTTAAGACCAAGGTAAAGCAGGACCTATGCAACAAGAGTTGTAGCTTTTTGGTCTGAGAAGGTCAGTGAAATGCCCTCAGGATTTGTCCTGAGATCCTGTACCTCAGATTGTAGAACCTTTATCAGTGCAGCCATGTGGATGAGTCACGGCCAATGCTTGGCCAATGTGCTCTCTGTGAAAGCCTGAGAGAGTGTCTTCTCCCCATGTGACTCTTGGAGACATTTCTTGAATGAATTCTTGAAGAAATGAATGGATAAATGGTGCGCCCTGGCCAGAGAGAATGAGAAATATGTCTTTGTTCCTTGTCAGTATCTCAGCCCCTCCCTCCCTCCTCACCCACCATCACCTTGTTTCTTGGTATGCTCAGCTCCACCATGCAGGCTTCCTGTCAGTCCAGCCCTGCCCCTAGCCAAGGAATACCCTTCTTTAGCCTGCGTCTCTCAGGAAAGTCACCCTGGCCTCATCACTGTCTTACAGTGTCTGCACCTACCCGTGCATACCCCACCCCTGTTGTCAACAGAGTTATCCGTGTGCCTGCGTTATGTGCTTTCTGTGTGCTGGCTCTTGCAGAGTAGGTACTGCACCACATACAATGGTCAGGCTGTGATAATTCTCTGATGAATAGAGACTCGGGCCCACAGGGACAAATGACATGGGCCAGGACAGCACAGAAGAGTGACACTGGGGCACAGCCTGAGGGAAGGAGGATGTCAGGCAGGGAATTAGGAAGAGAATTTGGAGTAACGGGCACAGCATGCCCAAAAGTTTGGAAATTCAGAGGTGCTTCTGGAGGAATGGGAAGGCTGTGAGCTCAGGGTGGCAGCCCAACTCAGGTCATGACCCTGCGGATGCCATGTGGAGACTAGCACCCTTCAGGTAAGCATTGAAGAAGCAGTGGGATGTGCTTGGAAGGAGGAGCTGACCCTGGGGAAGAAACAGACAAGCAGATCCTGGAGTAAGCAGTGCACTGAGCTGGTGACAACCTGGGAAGAGTCCCACCTGCCCAGTGCAAAGAACCTGCCAGGGAAGGTGTTTCTCTACACAACTTTACAATCATCATTACTTTCTGACTGAATAAAGCATGCCATGGTGACAAATGGGTGAGGTATAAGACCAGGACATGTGTGACGTGACTACACATTAGTGGGCTCCTGCACCTTCTCCAAGGCCCATCTATAAACTCCCTTATCAAATATCCAGATTGAGCCAAGAATGTTGCTAAATCAGTTTAGCAAGTACCCACTGCCCTCCATATCTTATGCCTCTTGATATCTGATGGATTTCCAACTCACTCATATCCCAGGTTGCCCCAGTCTGCCTTTACCAAGAATCCCAATGTCTCAACCCATTTTCGATGGCTCTAGATTAGTGGGTGTTTTATATAACACAGAAGCATATTTAGTAAAAAAGGGTATACAGATGAATGTCCATTTTGTATCTGTGTATTCAAAGTGGTTAGGATAGATATATAGGTACATTCTCTTAATGAATAGAGTGATTTGTTCTAATGGTGTTTGTAAATAAGATATCATGTCCTCATCTTGTACAGCAATTAACCACTAGGAAGGATGTATGCAATGTGTTAATTATTGAAACTGTCCTACCAATTTGATTTGAAACTGTCTCATTGCTATTTGTTTATCAATAAAATTATGGAAAAAAAAGTATATTTAGTTCATGAATTTGGAACCTGGCTACAGCATCTCAACATCTGAAGGACTTTCTTGTTGGATTTATGGCCTGGAAGAAACCATCACAGGGTGAGAGTGAACAGGCTCACTTTTATAATAAAGCCACTCCCACGATAACCCATTAATCTTCAAATCCAGAACAGATTAATCCATTTGTAGGGGCAGAATCTTAATCACCTCTTAATCTTCTCACCTAGTCACACCTAAAAATATCTCATGGTGAAGAGATAAATTTCAACATTAAATTTTTGTGGGAACATTGAAACCCTGGCGGTTGGTTTGGTCCAATCCCCCTTACTCTTGGTCTCCTCTTAGTAACATTTATGCACCGGGCTCCCACCCATGATGAGTGGTGACAGCAGAGGGGAGAACTGAGGCGAAGAAGCACATGGAGCCAGAAGGGAACCCCCATAACAGGCTGTCAACAACGTCTCAAAATACTGTGCTAATGAGGATACTGCAGACACAGGTAACCAGGCACCTGAGCAACAATGTAGGCTGCGAGCACCTGCTCCTCCTTCACCCCAGGTGTCCATTTCTTAGCTAACACCAGACACATTCACATCCTGTGGGTCTGGAGGCTTCCTGTGCTGAGCTGCAGAACTGGAAAGGCCAAGACTACAACAGGGGGAGCAGAAGGAAGGTGGGAGACTTTCCCGAGGTCACCCATTTCATAGTCCTGGAAAGTGAGCTCAGGCAGCTTAACCAACTTGCATAGTTAGGACCACAATTACCAGGCCAGAATCTGCTTTGCACATGCGGGAACCGGTAGGGGCTGCACACTGTTGAGCCCCAACCTGCCCCTGGATTAGGGGAGTGTCACAGTCCAGGCAGGCCTATCCTCCTTGGGTAAGGCCTGGGTGGGGACTACTGGATGCCTACCTGCCTTTTGCCACATGTGTGACCTCTAGTGTGACCTTGGGTAAATCACACACCTCTGCTATTCACTCTCCCTATCTCGGAGGTAAGGGCGCGGTTGCCCAGGGCGGAGCTGCGTGGCTGACTCAGAGAGGCCAGCACGTAAACTACAGGGATTTCCCGCGGGACACCAGCGGGGTGGGGCCGAGGGTGCGCAGAGAAGGAGGGAGCGGGACCCGGAGGCGCGCGCCTGCTGCTGGGCAGGCTTGCTGGGGGCGGGACTCAAGAGAGAGGTGGGGCGCGGCGCTGCGGCCGGAGGCAGGGCCCCCGGGAGGCGAGGCAGCACCAAGCGCCGAGGAGGCCCGTTTCAACTGAGGGGCGTGGCTTCGACGAGCCAGCCGAGTCGGGGGCGGGGCCTGGTGGGGAGGGGCGGGGCTCCGTTAGGGGTGGGACTTATGGCTGGCGACACCGTCGTAGCGGCCTGGCGGAGCCTAGCGGGAAGGGGCGGGGCCTAGCGGGAAGGGCGGGGCCTAGGGCCGACCCGCGGGCGGCGGTCACCGGAGTCGGTGGGCTGGCTGCAGGACGGAGAGGCTGACAGCGGTGACGGCGGGGCGGCGCCTTGCCTGCCGCCATGACAGGTGGGCGCGGGGCCAGTCTGGCGTCCAGAGCCGAGTGACCTTGGCCGTCTGCTGGCGGGCTTGGCGCGGGGCGCGGCAGGGCTGTGGCAGCAGGTGGTGGGGTCTCCGCAGCTTTGCGGCAGGGCCGACTGGGGCGCGGGGTCCGGGCAGCGGACTGAGGCCGCAGGTGAGCTGCGGCATAGGTGCGCCCCGCGGCGGCCGGGTCCCTGCATTTGTGGGTCGGGCAGCGGCGGGGATGGGCTGAGGTCTGAGAGTAGGAAGTGGTGCTCGTGCGCTGCGGCGAGGCTGGCACGGAGATGCTATGCACATCTCCGGAACCTCGACGAAGAGGCGGGACGGCACTGCGTGCCTGGGAGGCTGTGGTGCTCCCAGACTCCACCGCCTCCGTTTCCTCGGGGGCCCACGGGACCCCAGCCGCGTGCACCCCCTGTCCTGGAGGGGCCTAGCGCAGTCGGAGCAGTGACTGGACCCCCAAGGCTGTTGTGCTCCATCACCAACCACCAGCCTCGCCTCTCTGGTCTGAGAATCTATCCATCCTCTTTTTGATGCCAGCTAAGCAGGGCAACCCTGTTCCATGGGCTTTGCACTTTGAAAGGAAGACCTTGAGGGTAGTGGGCCACATCTTCCTGAGGGTCTCTCTGCCACCAGTGGCAAAAGTCACCTGGGGTGACCCAGGGGAGTAGGGTGGCCCCATGAACCTCCAGTCCACTTTCCTCTGTACTCAGGGTCTCATAGAGGGGAACCTAGTGCTACCAAGCCAGAGGAGATCCCAGGTGCCACCAGTTGCCCTATGTCATCCTTCCAAACTTATTTGTGGCTGCCATTTCTGAGCATCTACTGTGTACCAGGCCCTGATGTGGGCACTTCTGGCCCTGAATGGAGACATGTGGACCCACATGTCTGTGGATGGATGCAGAGACAGAGTTCTCAGATGGGACCAGGCCACTCTGTTGCCCAATGGTAGAGGCAGAATGAGACCTGGCCCATGCATGTCTGTCTCCTGCCTAGATCCCTAATTCCCCAGCTTCTTTAGAGAGATCACGACAGTGTGTTCAGAGATATGTTGGCCTCCAAAAGCCCATCCCAGGGCTAAGTCTGAGGCAGCACAGCCAAGGCGGACAAGCTATCCCAGACTTCTTGTATAAAGAGAGCTTCCAGCTAGAAGGCACAGCCACACAGGGGCCTTCTAGGCTCTGACTGTGGTGCCTGTTTTCTTTGTTGCATACTCACTGGTCCTCTCAGCATTTCCCACAGACTTTCTTTTGGGGATAGGAGATGGAGATCCAGGCCTACAGAGTCAATGGCCAGCCCTGCAGGGCTGCAGATGTGTGGTCCTGGGCTCACTGCCTCTCTTTATGGACTAGGATCCGCCTCCACCAGTCCTCTGTGCCAGTGAGCACATGTGCAAGGCAGTGCCTGCAAACACTGAGTACAGTGTTTGTATAGAGCATGTGCTCAAGAAGTGTCCTGTCTCAGGTGCTGTGAAGTAAATGCTCTTAGCCAAACTGGGTTCTGGGACAAGAGAGGCTTTTGGAAGAAATTCTGGACCAAGGTTGATGCCCAACCACAGCAGATGGACCTGCGAGACTCAGGACAGCTTTGGGGAGGAAAACAACCAGCTGGGCACAAATGAGTCAAGTATTCTCAGATTGGGGCCTGGGTGCCAGACAGTGTGGCAGATTGAGGGCTGCAATGGAGGAAAACGGGATCTTAGGAGCTGAGTGAGGGCAGGTGGGGCCAGATGGCTCAGGAGCCCCAGCGCCAAGCTGAAGGCTTCAGTCTGGGTTGAGGAGGTTCAGGTAGGGGTGCCGAGGGTGGAGTCCATGCTCCTGGTGCCAGCTGGGAGAAAGGGGGAGAGTGTGGGCTTGGTGAAAGCTAAAGGGTTTTGTGCAGAGCCATCCATCCTTTATCCTGTGGAAACAGTTCTGGCCTTGTTTACCAAAAGGCCCTGGCACAAGGCGGGGTCCTTGCTTGCGTCTTTTTGTGCTTCCTAGTGGCTGCCTGTATGTGGTTGGCATTTGCAGCTCACTAGAACTGCAGGAAGGCACAGCCCTGGAGCCACACAGCCTGCCTCAGCCCCTGGGTTATGCTGCCCTTGCCAGGTGACTCAGGCCTGCTGTGACTCATGGCTTGCGGGCAGCAGAGGCCCAGCTGGCCCAGCAGCTCACCAAGTGGGAGGAAGCTGCTTCATGGCACTGGGCACTGTTCACCAACAAACAGACCTCACCCTTAGGCCTCAGATCAGCATCCATTCATTCAGATCTTACTGTGAGCTCAGCCCTGTGCACATATGTGATGCACATTGGGAAGACAGTGCTAGACAGGCAGCCTTGGTCTTGCTGCTGCTGGCAGGGAGTGGGCCCATGCACCCTGTTACACAGGGGACTTGTATGCTATATTGACTTATGTGCTAAAAGAGAGGCAGACAGTCTGGATGTCAAGAGTTGACCCCACCCAGCTGTGACTAGGCTCTGACCTCTGGTCTGCCACTTCCTGCCTGGCTGTAGTCTTAAATAAGTACTTTATCTTCTTGCTGTGCCTCAGTTTCCGTATCTGAAAATTGGGGTGGTAGTTGTGCTCACATAGCTGAGCTGGTAGAAGGATGTTGGTTGTAGGTAGGCATAGTCTACCGAATGCCTGGAACATGGGATTGCTCCTTGAACTCCACTGGGCTCATCTTAGCTCTTCAGTGAGGGACACTGCAGGTGCTAGAGCCAGACTGCTGTTACCATACCTGGCCATGAGGACCTGGGAGGCCTGAGAAGGACAAAAGCCTTAGAGTCAGTGCCCTAAGGATGAAGCCAGAGGAGAGGCCACTTTTTCCAACATGATAACCCTATGTTGTAAAAGATCTATCTCCTATAAGTGTGATCTACTAATGAGCACAGACACTTGTTTTTAGTGAACAGTTTGATACATGTGTTTACCTATGAAGCTGTCAGCCCAGGCAGAATCCAGACAGAAGGGTCTGTCACTCAGAAAGGTCTTCTGTGACCCTTTTCAGATAATTCCCCCAACTCAGGTTAATCTGCTTTTTGTGACCTACAGTATTTTTTTTAAATCAACAATTGGAATTTTCCAAGTAGATTTTCTTCTTCTTCTTCTTTTTTTTTTTTTCTTTTTGGCAGAACTGGGGATTGAACTCAGGCCCTTGCGCTTGCCAGGGACGTGCTTATTCCACTGAGCCATCTCCCCAACCCCAGATTTTCTTCTTAATGAATAGACATCTTGTTATTTCTATATTTATTCTTTTACTGTTTTTATTGATTCTTTTTTCAAGACAGTTTAACTGTGTATCCCACACAGGCCTCAAACTCAATCCTTCTGCCTCAGCATCCCCGAATACTGGGATTAGAGCCGTGCACCACCACTCCTGGCTTTATTACCTTTTTATTTTTGAAACAGTCTTATTTTGTTGCTAGGCTGGTCTTGAGCTCTTGGGCTCAAGCAAACCTCTTGGCCTCAGCCTCCAAAGAAGTTGGGAGTATAGGCACATGTCACTGTGCTCGGCTCCAAGACTATTTTTAGAGCAGTTTTAGTTTATAGAAAATGGAGCAAATAGTGCAGAGGGTCCTGTATATTGCTATCTCTATTATTTTAGCATGTTCTATTAGTGCATTATTATTAGCTGAATGTCAGAGTTTACATTAGGGAGTGTACACTCCCTATATTGTACATTCTGTGAGCTTCAACAAATGTATGTCTTTTTTTTTAAATTTTATTTATTTATGTGTGTGTGTGTGTGTGTGTGTGTGGCCAGCTCAGCCCACCAGGGGGTGGGGCTGGCTGGCATGTGGTGCTGGGGGATTGAACCGCGGTCCCTGTGCTTTGCTAAGCTTGTTCTAAGTAGGTGCTTTAGACCACTGAGCCATTTCACCAGCCCCCAAATGTATGTTTTTTATTCACCACTATCATACCGTATAGAAAGATTTTGCTGTCTAAAAATTCCCTGAAGCCTGTTTACACATTCTTTCCTCCTCCTAGTCCAGCAACCACTAATTTTATTGTCTTCCTGCTATTGCCTTCTCTGTAATGTCAGATAATTAGAATCGTATGGTTTGTATGACTGATTTCTTCCACTTAGAAATATGTATTTAAGACTTCTCCTTGTCTTTTCAAGGCTTAATAACTCATTCCTTTTTAGTGCTGAATTCATTGTGTAAATGAGCCATAACATATCTATGCATCTTTATTGTGGTTAAGTATGCAAAACATAACATTTACTGTTTTAATCATTTTGGTGACACTAAGCACTTGTACAGTGTTGGGCAACCATGACCACTACTCATTTCTACAACCTTTTCATCATCCCAGATAGCAACTTCTTGAATAGTAACTCACCTTTCTTCCTCTCTACTCAGCTCCTGGTAGCATTTATTTTACTATCCCTATGAATTTAACTATTCTTAGTATGCTATATAAATGAGATCATCTATTCTTTTGTGTCTTATTTATTACACTTAGCATATGTTTGCTTGCTTTTTTTTTTTTTTTTTGGTCTTTTTGAGACAGGGTTTCACTGTGCAGTTCAAGCTGGCCTTGAACTCACTTTGTAGCCCAGGTTGGCCTTGAAGTCATGGTGATCCTCCTGCCTCAGCCTCCTGAGTACTGAGATTATAGGGATATACCAGATGCATATACTTTTTGTTTTTGTTTTTTTTTTAGTACTGGTAATTGAACTCAGGGCCTCACACTTGCCAGGCAGGCACTATGATGCTTATGCTTTCAAAGTTATCCATATTGTAACATTCATGTGTCAGAATTTCTCCCCTTTCTGGCTGAACACCATCCTGTTGTACACATGTTTTACTGCATTGTGAAAATCCATTTACCTATGAGTAGTTATTTGCATCTTGTGCCTATTTTGAATAATATTGCTAGGAACACTGGCACACTGGTGCCTGAGTATCTGCTTTCAGTTCGTCAGGTATATATGTGCCTAATGTGAAATTTCTGGGTCTTGTGACAAGTCTGTGTTTAGGTTTTTGAGGGTTCCCATCCTCTTTTCCACAGTGGCTACAGCATTATGCATTTTCACCAATAGTGCACAAGAGTTTGAATTTTTTTACTTCCTCCCTAACACTTTAAATATAGTTATCCTAGTGAGAATGAAGTGGTATCTCCCCCTGGTTTTGATACGGACTTCCCTAAAGACTAGTAGTTAGACATCTGTTTGTATGACTATTGCCTCTGTGTGTGTGTGTGTGTGTGTGTGTGTGTGTGTGTGTGTTTTACTGGGCATCGAATCCAGGGCCTAACACATGCTAGGCAAGCACTGTCCACAGTTCTTTTTTTCTTTATTTTATTTCATTTTATTTTATTTGGTGCTGGGAATTGAGCTCAGGACCTTGTGCTTGCCAGGTAGGCACTGTGCCACTGAACTATATCCCTGGCCCAGCTCTTTTTATTTTTAGTTTGAGGAAGAGTCTCAATAAGTTGCACAGACTAGGCTTGATCTTGCAACTTTATGCCTCAGTCTATGTTTATAACTGTTTTAATTATTTAAATCTCAATATTTAATTAAGAATACTATATATATTCTTAGTGAATTAACTCTTTGAGTTATTACTTACATGGAATATCTTTTTTGCACCCTTTTACTTTTGACCTAATTATGTCTTCAGATTTAAAACAAGTCTCTTGTAGATAGTGTTTTCTGTATGTCTTGTGGCTTTTTGACCTTAATTCCTTCCATTACCATTTTCTTTGATGTTGATTTTTTTTGTAGTCATACGTTTTTCTCTTCTCATTTTTTATTTTTATTTCTGTTCTATAGATATCCTCTTTGTGATTAACATGAAGATCATACACCGTGTCGTAGGGCTCTAACAATCTAACTTGAATGGATACTATCTTACCCTCCATCACATGTATACAATATACTCCTGCACAGCCCCAGCCCGGGTGAGCCTGGAGCAACAGGACAGTGGCTGGAGCTGTGTGAGGCAAGGCCCCCATGCGTCCCCTGGGGTTCCATGCTCCCTCCTCCTGCCCACCGCCACACCACCCTCAGCTGGACAGACCTGTCTGTTTACAGAGCATTGATAAGGGGAAAATGGTGCAGCCATGGTGCTTTCATGGTGCCTCTGCAATGAGATAAAGAAAACTTCCTTGTCCTTTGGTAATGCTAGCCCAGGCCACACTGAGCCCTGTGTTCCTGCACCTTTGGTTGGTTGGTTGTTTTTTTAATGTATTTGGTACAGGGTCTCACTACGCAGCTCGGACTCATAGTGATCCTCTTGTTTTCAGCCTTCCCAATGCTACAATTACAGGCATGTGCCACCGTGCCCACACTCAGTGACCAGCTCAGTGCACCCAGGGGGAGGGCCATCACTGCAAGTGGTGCCAGAGATTGAACCCCCGTGCCTACGCTGGCCTAGGCAGGTGCTTAGTGCGCTGAGCTGTCCCACCGGCTCTATTCCTGCATCTTTGTGCTGGGGCAAGCTGGAAAGCCCTTGTCCCAGCCTTCTCAGAGCTGCATGTTGCCTCCCTGGGCCCCGCCTATTTCCCTATGGCCCTGAAGTAGCCCAGTAGAGGGCAGATTTTTCACCTCTGAAAATCTGCTTCCCATGATCAGCTCTTGGCATAGGAGAGGGGGCAGGAGTACAGCCATTTCTTTGCTTCTTCTGCCCAGGTGGGTTGGCAGGGTGGGGCAGTTCTCCCTGTGTGATACCCACCATATAGCGGGGATGTCCTAGTCCTGCAGGTACTTCCAGAGATTGTCTCCCTGCTGCAGGCATGGCCAGCACCATAGCTGCTGGTTTTGGTCCCTCTTAGGCCTGCACAGGCTCATGCCCTGCATTCCCCATATCTGTTCTAGATCAGACTTACTGTGACCGCCTGGTGCAGGACACACCATTCCTGACAGGCAAGGGGCGCCTCAGCGAGCAGCAGGTGGACAGAATCGTCCTTCAGCTGAACCGCTACTACCCACAGGTCCTCACCAACCAGGAGGCTGAAAAGGTGCTGAGGAGGTGAGGGTGGGTGTCTTGGTTACTTTTCTCTTGCTGCTGAGACAAAATGCCTAGCACCCAAAGCTAAGGAAGGAAAGCTTAATTTAGCTCACAGTCCGTGGAGGTTTCAGTCCATAATCAATTGGCTCCAAGACGGGGTGGCATGGCACAGGGTAATACTTCAAGGAGCAGAAGACAGAAAAAGCAGCAAGAGCAAAAGCAGTGGAGAAGCAAGCTTCTTTTTCTCCCTTATATTGTAAGCAGGCTATCCCACCTGGGTGTAACGCCCACACCATCTCCCAGTGCACACCATCTCCAAGTCCTCCTCTTGGAGAGGATGAGGATATTTACAAAGTAAGAACCCTGGCTCCCTGCTGAGCCCTTTAGTTAAACTTCTAAACTTCTTAAACTGATACCGTGTGTCAACCATTACAATCTACCCCTTGTCAACTTGGCAACCACAAACATTTCTCTAAACCAGTTTCCTGATACAAAGATATGGTTATTCTTAATATTTCACAACATGAACATTATAACACATATTTAACAAACTTTGAGAACCACTATTAAAGCAGTCAATATTATATTACATTAAAACCATAACGTTCTGTCCCTAGCTCCTAAGGACTCCTGCACATCTCTTTATGCAAAAGGCATTTAGTCCATCTGCAGAAGTTGGCCAAGTCCTAGCAGTCTCAGCATTGCTGAAAAGCCCAAGTCCTACGTCTCCTCTGAGATGTAAGTGAACTCTTAGCTTCAAGCCTCTGTACGAATGAAAAATTAGACACTTCCAACATTCAGTGGCACAAGAGGAACATTTTTATTCCAAATGTTACAAATGAGAATACAAAGGAATGGGATGAAAGCAAATCCAAAATCCAACAGAGCAAACATTAAGTCCTGTAGTTCCATGTCCTGCATCTGAGGCAGTCTAGCAAACTATGAGCTCCAAAGGGCTTGGATGGTTCCATGCCTTTGGCACTTCTGGTAGTTGTAGCTCCTATGGCCTCTCTCTAAGGCCCACTTTTCTTCCTCCTTGCAGCTTTCCTTAGACAATCCACATTCCTGGCCTTTCTGAGCTTCTGGGGTCTCCATTGCACCTTTGGCTTCTCCCTCAAAGCTTCATACTCTTCCCTCTCAGGGGTACACTGCCTGGCCTCCCAGACCTTCTTAAACTGAGGTGGAAGCCCCATAATTCCTGCATTTTTCATGCAACCATCCCCACGTGCCAAGGTCTGCTGCAATTTGGAGTAGTAGCCAAGCTTTCCTCTCTCTTGGCTGTAAGAGTCAAGGGCCTGGATCACTGGACACTCAGAATCCAGTTCTGAGGAACAAATTTACTATGCTGCCACTACTCTGGGACATGGTGCTCTGTAGCTTTCTCCTCAAAGCAAAGTCACTTTTGCAGTTTTGAGGTTGCAGAGGGTGGAGACTTGCTGCTTCTTGTGATCCCCTCAGGCCATCTTTTATATTCTCTGTTCCTTCTCAGTGCTATCTTTGAAGTCCGTAGCTTTGCTGGAGCTTCCTTTCTGGCCAGACTCAAAATGATTTAAATCATCCTGCTGGGCTCTTCATTCTCAACATAAATTTGGCTAAAAGCCCCCAACAATAACCATACCACTGCCTCAACATTCGATTGCCTTGAAATTTCTTCTGCCAAATTAGTCTGCTACCTTTACTCTCATTCTCAGGCAAATTCTCCGAACATGAGCAGAATGCAGACGTACTTCCTACCAAGTCATGACATTCGTTATCTGATACCGCACACACCTTTTGGGTTCCTTCCTTCCTGGGCTAGGAGGAGCTGGCTTCTGGCCCTGGTTCATCTCAGGGAATGGCATACTTGGTGTCTCAGGGTAGCTCGCAGGTGACACACCTGAGCCGGGCTGTTGGGTTGCCTGAGCTTAAAGCTGTCTCTGGAGTGGCTCAGAATGGGCCCAGGTCTGTACCTCAGTTTCTTCATATGGCATCATGCCTGCTTGTCCCCGCTAGAGTTGGTAGGAAGGTTCCAAGAGGCAACCCATGGCAATATGTGACATCATACAATAGCACATGACAGTACACAAACAAGAACAGTAGAGAGGGCTGAGGAGGGAGGGGTCAGCAGTCCAGGCCTGATATCATCCTATGCCACAAAGCAGCTCTTCATCTGCACCTTCCAGAGGTCAAAATGCTTCTTTTTTCTTTTCACTTTCTCCTTGTCTGTGGGTGGGAAGGCCCAGTCCATCCAAGGTGGGCAGCAGCTGCAGGCAGGCAGTATTGACTGTGACCCACAGCCAAGCTGGCCCTGCAGTGATGAGGGAAGCTGGTCTCACTAGGAACCTTCGTGGCCCCATCTGTGGAATGGACACAAAAACCAGGCAAATGGCTGCCCACTCCTTTCTTCCCCAGATTGTCCCTGATCCACACTATAGCCCTACAAATAGACATGGTCCTCACCTTGCTTTATGGAGCATGCTACTGAGGCCCAAGATGCTGTCCCATGTTCAGGGTCACCAGTCTCCAGAAGTCAAGCCATACCCTGGCCTCTCAGGGTCTAGACACTCTGGCAGGCCCTGCTGCAGATGGAATTCCAGATGCACTTTCTAGTTCTGTCCCAGGTCTCTTCCTGCCCAGCCTTCCAGACTGGGGGACCCTAAGATGGCCCTGGTCTCATGGACTCTGGGTGAAAGAGTTGGGCACATTCTTCCCCAAGCTTCAGCTTCTATTCCAAGCCACCTGCTCCTGGCCATGGTCACCAGGACTAGAGGGGCTAGAGCTGGTTTCCAGGGCCCACCAGGCCTTTGGGGTCCAGGTATTGTCCCTGGCCTCCTCCCTGTGTGAATCCCTTCCTTCTTGGAGCTGTGTTTTCCTCACATGACGTAGTGATCACAGTACAGGGATATACTGAGGTTTGGGGTCTTTCTGAGGACAGGCTAGTTGGTCAGATGCTGCCTGTGTTGTGAAAGTCATACTGTGACTTCAAAATGATGGGCTCAGCCAGGCTTGGGGTCAATACTTGTAAATCTCTGCTACTCAGGAGCTGACCTAGGAGGTAAGAGTTTGAGACCAGCCAGGGTAACATAGTGAGACCCCATTTCAACAAATAAAGAATTGATGGACTTAAATCAATCTCAGTGCAATTAGAAGTCTACTACATGATTATTTGGAGGGAAAAATCAGATGTTTATGTAGGGCTGCAGGGAAGCTCCTGCAATTCATTGGTTTGTTTTGCAGTTTTCAAGTTAGTGTGTCCTGCCACCAGGGGACAGCACCACGCTACTGCCTCCTGGTCCCTGGCTCGATGTCAAGTGCACTGGTCTTACAACCAGCTTCTCTGTAAATGCATTGAAAGAGCCAACTTTTCCTCAAGTAATTTTTTAAATATCTGGATCTCTTTCCTATAAACTGCAGAACAACAGAAGTGATCCCTTATGTCATCCCCTCACTAATTCCCTATGAGACCCTACCTTGTGCATTTATTATTTCCCTTCTTACCGATGGAAAAATGTCTCAGAGGGTTGAAGTGACATACTGGAGTCATGGAGGAAGCCATGCCAAGTCCCACCATCTAGGGTGCTGTCCCCTGCCCCGTGCTTTCTACATGACCTCTCCAGCCTCAGCTTCCCCCTCCCATGCCACAGGGATGAGAAGCCATAGTGCTGTGGCTGCTGGCTGTGGACAGGGTGTCTAGGGTGTCTGGTGATGCATTGTGCACCTGGAGAGGATGCTGAAGCTGGGTCCTGGGCCCAGTGCCCCATCCTGACCTGTAGCCACCCCCCAGCCTGCTCTTCCTCCCTCCTGCTCCCAGTTCCGGAATCCCAAGGCATCACTGCGCGTGCGGCTCTGTGACCTCCTGAGCCACCTGCAGCAGAGTGGTGAGCGACACTGCCAGGAGTTCTACCGAGCCCTGTACATCCATGCCCAGCCGCTGCACAGCCACCTGCCCAGCCGCCACCCCCTGCGTAAGTCTGTCCCTGGCACCAATGCTCATGCTGGGCTGGGGGTGCCACATGACTGCTGACAGTGAGGATGTCCTCAGTTCCCATTCTGACCTGGGTGTCTTCTGTGTCTTGTCCTTCCCTAGGGACATTCCGTGGCCTCAGAAGAACATGTAGGCATGCAGGCCTTACACTGTGTCTCTGTCTTTTCTTCTGTCCTCTCCCTTCAGTCCCTTGTTCTCATGCCCATTTTCACCCTGAGGTTGGTGTCTCACACATCTGGTTCTCCTTTTTTCACTCTCATCACTATGGGAACTTCATTTCCATACTGATACCAGCCCTGTCTTTAGCACCATATGGTGCTCCTGAGGCTGCCCCAGCCTGGAGTTACCCGAACTCACAGTGGACACCAGGTGGTGCCCCCTTCTGCCACATCCCACCTATACACATGCACACATGCATGCACACACACCCCGGAGAATTTCTATAGTGTCCTTGAGTGTGAGTGCCTGGTCGATCTTGTATATCATGGTTTAGAGGATCCTGTCCCCAGGCAGTACCCCCCAGGCCTCAGGAGATGTGTAGGTCTCAAAGGTTGGGGTCTTCTGAGCTTCTAAAGCCAGAGAAAGCACTGCAAGCCTGGGGTGCTGGCTTCATTCTGAGGCCTTTGTACATGGGGTCCTGGGAGGAGGGGCTGCTGTGTCTGGCCACAGGGATGAGCCCAAGACACTCAGCCAGGCCCCTGATCCTGCGGAAGCATCCCTATGCCACAGGATGCGGTGCAGACACCTGAGGGCAGGTAGATAGGCCCTCACTGCCTGTAAGAGCTCCATGAGTCTTCTAGAACATAGCTAAGGCCGCCAAGGCACAGGTCTCCTGGTGGCAGAGCACCTTGCATGGCTCCTAGGTGTCCAGCACCTATCCAGAGGGTACAGTTATCTGGGAGGTCTGGGGAGAAGCTCACTACCCAGCTGCATCCTGAGTTGTCAGGATGATGCAGTTGACTTTCAATGGTGGATATTCATGCTGCCCTTGAGGTCTTATGGCCAATGGGAATGATGGCCCTTGATGTCACAGAAGGTGGACTAAAGGAAAGGCCCCAAACCACAGGCTTCCCTCAACCCTGACATTATTTTGCCTGTCCTGGCCATCCCAGCACCTTGAGGTGGCCATGCAAGGCGATATGAGGGCCCAGCAGCCTTGGGAGGTGTAGGTGGCTTTGGGTTTCCCTGGGGGCCATCACCCTGCTCTGTGGCCCAGCCCACAACTAACAGTGCTCTGTGATTCTGTTCCAGAAAACTCAGATTGTACAGAGCTCGACTGGGGCAGCGAGAGCCACGGGCTGAGTGACAGGGGTAACGGGCAACACCCCTACCGCCTCCCTCTCTCCCTCCCTTTCTTTCTGTCTCTCTTCCCCCCAGGGCTCTTCTCTGCCCCAGGGGCCTCTCCATCCCCTGTCGGGCTCCATTCCTGGCTTTTTGTTGGTGAGAAGCCCTCTGTGCCCACTGGCCTCATCCTCATTCTCCTGCTTATTCCTCCCCAGGAACCATGAGCTTCTTGGCAGGCCTCGGCCTGGCCACTGGCCTTGCCCTGCTGCTCTACTGCTGCCCTCCAGGTGGGTGCTCCACCACCTCCGTGACCCACCCATGCAGCAATAGAGAAACAGAGAAGCTGAGTGTGTGCAGCCGGCAGCCTTGGTGGCCACTGTTTCACAGTTACTCTCCAGAGAGGAAGGGCTCCAGGAGTTAGAGAGCCACACGGATCAGATCTCCAGCTCTAGAACCTGGGGTCTTTGTCCCCATTGTGTTGCAGGTCCTATGTGTAGGCAGCCATCAAGGCCATGTAGTTTACAGGCCCTCTTCCCTGTGATGCCCAAGTTTGTTGTGCTGGGAAGGCCTCCAAATGTTGGTGCAGTGTGCATGCAAAGGCTGCACGCGAGTCACTAATTGGGGCTGCAAGCTCCAGGGTCTGAGTGGGAGGGGCTGTGCCAGGGCTGACTTGTTCCCAACCCAAAGGACGTGGCGAGTGCAGATCAGAATTTGCTTATGTAACCCTTCCTTCCCCTGTGTGCCAGACCCCAAGGTGCTGCCCGGGACCAGACGCATCCTGGGCTTCTCAGCCATCATCGTTGATAGGCACGTCAGCCGTTACCTCTTGGCCTTCCTAGCAGATGATCTCAGAGGGCTATGATGGAGCCACATGCTGGGCCTTACTGACTGCACAACCAAAGAGCCGCCCCTCTCCCCGTCCGATGCCCACTGCAGGGCCAGCACCACTTTTTCTAACTGTTTCCTTTTCATTATTTATAATTTCTCTGCAAGGCACAACACCTTCACCCTACAAGGTGCTTGATGATAATAAAAGCTGAGTTCTTTTTGTCTGACTTGCTGCCTTATGATAGAAGGGTGACTGTGGCTGCTTCAGCTGGAGCCAGGTCCCTGGGTGCCCCTGGCCTCGCCCAGGCCAGCCCTTGCCTGCCTATGCCAGGTGTCCTCTCACACTGTCCCCTTCCCTGCAGATGTTCCTCCCACACCATCTCCTCCTGTCTCAAGCCCCTCCCATCTCAGATGCCCCCTCTGTCCCCTCCCCTGCTCTGCCTCTGAGCCTTCCTCCTGTCCTTGATGGTTCCCAACACCTGGTGTGCCTCTAGCTTCACAGGCTGAGGCAAGAGTGGACTGCTATCACCAGCCTGGCAACTCCATGAGGCCCTGGCCTGGGCATCCCCAGCTCTCTGGGAGTCTAGGTTTGGGGCACTGGTAAGTGCTGCAGGTTGGGGCATCTGAATGCCCATGCGTTAACTTCATTTCCAACAATTCCAGAAGGTTAGAACTATAGTCCTTACTTTTCTGATGGGGACACTGAGACCCAGAGGAGGGGCCACTGTCTAAGATCACTCTGCTCTGCTAGTCAAGGGGAAGATGGGATGTTAGGTCAGGGCCAAGTTTCATCCACCTTGTTCCTGTACTCTTCCTGTGACTGTCTGAGTTACCTCCACCCCCACCCCAGCACCCTTCCCTAGGCCTCTGGGTCACTGTCCAGTCCTTTGGCCCCACATAGCCTGGTCAGCCACTGTGTGCTGGGGAGAGAATCCGAGGGAACCTTGGCCCAAGAAGAATGGGTAAGGAGTCAGCACTGCAAAGGACAGGCCATGGGGTCCAGGGCCAGGAACACAGCCACAGTCACAGCCTGAGGCAGGAAAGAGACAGAACAGGGTAGTCCATTGAGCCTTGGGAAATGAAAAATGTCATCTGGGCCTGGTGTGGGACTGGAGGTGACTACCTACCTTGCTCAGGGCCTATCCTAGAACAGTCACTTACAGACACAAGATGATTGAACAGCTGAGGGCTTTGGGGACCTGACCCCTTTTGTCAGACCCTGGCCCTCCTGCCTCACACATGATAGGCAGGTCCTCTGACAGGCACACCCCAAGGCATCACCCTACACCTTGCCTGCATCTCCAGTCACCACCCCTGTTCTACAGATGGAGGGCTGAGGGCCACAAGACACTGTTCATGTGCCCTCACCCACACCACCTCTCCTCAACACACACACACATGTGCAGGGTGTTCATGCACATACTGCACATGCTTACACATTTACAGTGTGTGTGTACATATACACACGTGCACAAACAGGTACAAGTGAGGCACCAGCAATAGGCCCTGATGGGTTTGCCTCCTGATGGGTCAACAGTTTTGGTCACCAGCAGAGTCACTGTGAGTTTGCGTTTTCCACAGTTGTTTCCAGAGGCACAGGGATGCGCCTTGGAGGGCACTGGGCAGGCCCTCACCCAGGATGGCATGGGTGGCTGAGGTGGGCCTGGGCCAGGTTCCTGGGAGGGCTGCATGCAGGCTCAGGCTCATGGAGCACCAAGGAGCGGACACTCAGTCAGTTCTGTCACCACACAGCAAGCGCTGTGCTTATTACGTTGCCCATGCTGCTGCATCAGAGAACTGCAAGCGAGGGCCAAGGAATGCTGTGCCTTCAGAGCTCCCACACATGCCCAGTGAGGACAAGTGGCTTTGCGGAGACCCCCAGATACCCTTTCACTTCCCCATCTCAGACCACAGGATTAAGAAATGTGGTTCCAAGTCGCGGCGCCTCAGTCTGCTCCTCTGTAACATGGGACCCTACTCTGGGCGCCCCACGGGCATGACTCAGAACAGCAAGTCACTCGGTAACCCGAGAGAGGCTCTTGAATTACTGCTTTTTAGGAAGGTCCTGCAGCACCACGGTGAAGGCAATACACCCCTACGAAGGTGACAGAGGCCCCAGGGAAGGTGACATACTTGCCCCAGGGCATAGACAGACATAACTTACCTCTGGAGAAGGAAAGAACCAGGAAGGACATTAGGACTCATTTATTTTTTATTATTTATTTATTTATTTATTTAATTTTTTTTAGGATTTGTTTCTAATCAGCATCATGGTGCATACCTGTAATCCCAGCACTGTGAGGGACTGAGGCAGTAGGATAACAAGTTCAAACTCAACCTGGGCAACTTAGTGACTTAGGCCCTATTTTAAAAGAAAGAAGAGGGGAGGAGGGGAGGGAAGAAGAAAGCTGAGAAGCAAGCAGATGATGTTGCTCAGAGTGGAGTCCCTGTGTTCAGTCCCCGGTACTAGAGACAGATGATAGAAGACAGAGACAGATAATAAATACAAACATAAATGGTGGTGGTGATGATAGAGATGGATAGATAAATGATAGGTGATGGATGCATCTGGGCCGGGGAGATAGCTCAGTAGAATAAGTGCAAGGTCCTGAGTGCAATCGCTGGTACCACAAAAAAAAAAGATGGATGCATCTAGTTTCTGTCTGCTGAAGACTGGAAACATCTAGAGACAGGTGAGATGACACGCTTGTTGCCAAGTCCCTGGGGCTGCCCCATCTGCCTCTGGCATGGGGTGCCATCCTGAGTAGACACACACAGGACATGCCGGTCCCATGGCCTTGGACCCACCTGGCCTCTCTGCATTGCTGACTGTCTCCTTCCATCTGTGACATGCTAAGGCCCTGCCTCAAGCCCACTGGCTGCCCTTGGACATCCCTCCTGGCCTCTTGCCTCTTGGGCCCACCTTCACCTGGAGGGGGCTATGGAGGGGAGAACACTGGGGACTCCCCATCTAGACCTTGGTGCCCCATCATGCCCTGCCCTGCCACCACCTGACCAAGTGGTGCCCCTGACAAAGTGCATCAAGCACACAGGGAAGTAAAAGGTACAACCATCCCCTTCTTCCTTGGTGCCACCCTCTGGCTTGGCCCTCACCATCTACCTGTGGCCTCAGGACATTTGTGTCATGTGCAGTGACGCCACCGCTTTAGGAACTCATATAAGGAGCAAGCTGTTTCCTCTGCTTGAGTCACTCACTGTTGAAATTGTTCAGATCCTGGATAGAAATACCACCTGTTCAGGCTGCTATTTACATGCAAGTAGGAAAGGGGCCACTTCAGGGATGCCCCCCAGTGGGGCAGCTGGAGCTGAGGGAGAGCTCCCCATGCCAGAGGCTTGGGGTACAGGAGGGGAGCAGAGGAGCTGGGACAGAGCGCTGGGCAGTCTGGTCACAGGGCAGAGAGGACACAGCACATGAGGCAGGGAAAACACATCTGCATCTTGCACAACACAGGGCTGGTGGATGCTGAGCATGTAGGTCCTAAGTTGGATTTGGGGGTGCTCTAACACTGCTTTATATGTGGTAACACTTCTCAGTTCCCATTGAGTCAGCAACTTGCTTGCAGATGACTCATAGGAGCCCTGCCAATGTCTCCCAATTGAAACCCATCCAGCCACAGGTCATGGCTCCCTTGGGTGGATGAGCATCTTAGAGGGGCTTGGCCTGTTCTGCTCCCCACTGTCTGGTGTACCTGAAGGGCACTTGGGAGATGGAGAGATGAACAGGATGTTCTGTGGCTGGGGTCACATCGCTACTGATTCCCATCACTGTTGAGATGCTACATCCCACACCTGGAAGGTGGGCAAGAACCCTTAGAAGGTGCTGCTCAAGTGGCCATGGGACCCAAATCATAATTTGACCCCAAGCTGAGTCTCTGGGCTCATCTTGCAGTGGAGTGAGGGCCATGAGGGAGGGACTACACTGTTTCTTAGAAGTTCTCACACCCTACTTTCTAGTGGACCCCACTGCAGCCATGTGGGAAGAGGAGACACCCTGGCTTAAAACCAGCCTGTGATGCTTAGGCAAGTGCAGGGACTATGGTTTGATCCCGACACCATGCTGGCCCTGCCCTCGGGCGCACTGAGCTGGCCACTGAGTCTGAGTGTGGAGGTACATGCCTGTAATCCCAGCTCTGGGGAGGCTGAAAATAGGAGGATCACTATGAGTTCAAGCTGCATTTAAAAAACAAAAACAAAAACAAAAACAAAAAACTACCAGTGTGTCCTTATCCACCTCATTCAGAGGATCTGGAACCATGCAACTTCTGGATCTTCTCTGAAGTAAAAATGACAATGAAAAGTAAAGGACACTGAAGCAACCATGACAGCACAACTAAAGACACTCATGAAAGAGCACTTCTAGAACTGCTTCAGAAAGTTGCAAAAATGATGGGATAAGTGTGTGCAAAGTGAGAGGGAGTATTGTAAAGTGGATTAATAGCAATGTCTTTTACTATAATAATACATTTTTAAAATTTTAAACATTGTTTATTTCACCACCTACATCAATCTGCCCATCACCTCTCAATAGCTGTTTTCTCTCGTGTTATGATTAGATCTGGGGTGTCCCCCAAAAGCCTCATGTATTGGGAAAGAGATTGGATCACAGGAAGTGAAAACTGCTAAGTCCAAAGCTTCCTCCTCATTAGGAGGTGGAGCCTAGTTGGTCTCGGGTCACTGGGGTGAGACTGGGAGGGTATATCTCCGTTCCTCACTCATCTTCTTCCTTCAGTGGTCTCCCCATCCCACCCCCAGGTTCTTCCACCAGGCCATTTCTGCCCTGGAGCTGGTTGACCATGCATCAAACGAAGATATGAGCCAAAATAATCCTCTCCTCCTTTCAGTTGTGGCTGTTGGGTATTTTTGTCTCAGCTACAAGAAAGTGATTAAGACAATATATTAGTTATGTATTAGTCAGCTTTCTATCATTATAATAAAATACATGAGACAATTAACTAAAAAGACTAAAGGTTTATTTTGGCTCAGAGTTTTGGAGATTTTTAGCCCACAATCAATTGGCCCCATTGTTTCGGGCCCCCAATAAGGCATCTGGTAGGAGTATATCACAGGGAAAACCATTCACTTCACCGGCCAGGGAGAGAAAAGAAACAATGAGGGGACTACAGTCCCAGTCGCCTTCAAGGACCTGGCCCCAGTAACCTGCAGACCTCCCACAGGGCCTCACCTCTTGAAAGTTCTTAGAGGTCACTTAGTCAAATCATGGCCCAGTCTATCCTATTGTCTGGTTCTGCCTGCCTGCTATTATCTCTCTTTTAGTCACCCACACACCTGTCCATCTACTTGCCCATCCATCTGGCTAATCACCTCATTAATCCCTTACAGGAAGAAGGTGAAGGAAACCAATCTCCATCTCACCCATCCCCTTGTGGCCATTGCCAGTTCTGTGTGACTGTCCCCAGTCTCCACTCCCCCAACCCCACCATCCCTGCAATGCCAGGTCCAGCTTGCACCAGCCTCAGGGCGCAGGTTAACCCTCCACCTATAACAGGTGTCTCCTTCTAGCATTGCCTGCTGACCTCCCTACATGTCCCGCTGTGGCTCCCCACAACTCAGTGGGCCCATCTCCTTGCTCCTTACACAGCTTGCTCACTCACCGGTGCTGTCCACCAGTGCTGTCCCTCAGATCTAGGTCCTTAGGGCAGGGTAGGCCTCCCAGAGGAGCACTTAGGAGTGATCTGGACTGTTACTTCTGTCTGCCCTTCACCTGCTCTGACAGATGCACAGAGCCCAGCACACTTGGAAGGGTGCGTTCCACCTCAGATGTTTCCTGAACATGACTGCACACCCAAGCGAGGTGGCACACAGGCTGCAGGAGGTGGGATTGGTGGGAAAGACAGGCCAGACCAAGGACCAGGAGGCCTTCTGGATAGGACACTTGTTCTCTGGTGCCGACATCCCCTTGGGCTGGGCTCAGACCGCCATCCAGCCAAACACGCTGACCTCCTCTGATATGGGTGGTGACCCTCATCTAAAATATCAAAGGTAATAGAGCCCAGATAAGGAACAGAATGACAGGAAGGGGCAGGCTTGGACAGTAACGTGATGACCTTGGGATACAAGGAAGCACTCCAGAGAAAGGGGTAGGGCCATCGGGTGTACCTGTGAGACGTGACTAGACGCTATAGAGGCAGTGAGTACAGGTGCCTGAAGGGGAGGCCCAAGGGACAGGGCCATGGGGGCCAGAATGTGCCTCCAGGGCCAGAACTGTGGCCTGGGCTCAGGGACTCCTCTCAGAATCCTCCCTCCCCCAGCCCCATCTGGGTGAATTTCCTCTTTAGAGGAGGAACCAAGCCATGTGTTGGCCAACATCCGGCTGCGACGGGCCAGCCCACACCAGGGGCACTGCGCTGGTGGCATACACCTGAGCCATTCTTAGCCAGGGCCCGGGCAGCAGCTAAGGCACAAACCATCCTTGAGCCCCAGGGCTGTTGTATCAGAAGAGGTTTTCCTGGGCAAGGCTGGGGGACATCACAAGGCCTCACAGGGTGTGACAGCCTGCCCTGAACTTGGACAAAAAGCAGTGCATCATGTGTGGGGTCCTGGGCAGGTCTTTATTTTATCTTGCTTTGCTCCAAAGGACACAGCAGGCCCCTGAACATGGGGCTGCCGTGCTGGCTCCAGGAGGGCTGCAAAGGCAGGCTTTAGCACTACGCATGGGAGTGATGCTGGGGGCCAACCCACCCAGGCCCTCTCCAGGAGGCCAGGCACCTGGGGCTCAGCATTCCTCACACATACTGGACAGGCTGACAGTGCAGGTTCTGGGATGGTGGAGATCACACCTAGCAAAACATTCACCAGTTTTGTGAGGGCATGCTTCAAATGATTCTTCCAACTTTTCTATGTGTTGGTATAAAAAATTAAAAGCAGTTGAGCACAGCATCACATGCCTGCAATCCCAGTTACTCAGGAAGTAGACACAAGAGGATAAGGAGTTCAAGACCAGCCTGGGGAGCTTAGTGAGATCCTGTCTCAAAATTATAAAAAAAAAAAAAATTAAGAGAGAAAAGCAGCAAGGCATTTGAGCCTCTGACCCAGGCTCCTCTGCCTCTAAACCGCATCCTGAGATAGGCTGGGAGCCAAAGAGGTCCCCAACCCTGACTTTCTGGGGAAGGCACTGGGATGAGCTGTGTGCTCTGAGGCTTAAGGAAGGGAAGGGACCCCAACACAGTCCCACCCCAGGCAGGGAGGACAGTGCCCAGAGCCCAGCTTTGTTGGTCATTCCTATTAATGGGCACTTAGATGCCTAGGGATGGGCTGGGGCTCTGCCAAGTCACTGTGGGTAGAAGGCATGAACACAATTCAGGGGCCAAGAGGACACAGCCACCTCCTGATAGCTGCATAGCCCAGACACTGAGGCTGTGGCCCAAGGCCACCACTGGGTCCCCTGGGGTGCTGGTCCCCTGTGCCTCTGGGTTAGAAAACAACAGAGGCAGTGGTCACCAGGGGAACCTGGCAGGCCCCCTAGGAAGTGGGGATGCTGGTGTATTGGCAAGGGGAGGAGCAGCTCCCTGTCCATCTGGAACGGCCTGCGACAGAGGCCGGCTGGTTCCTCATCCAGCCTGTCCATGGATTTGCTATGTGTCCCCAGGTGGCAAGTATCTGAGACGCTCCAGTTCTGGCCTTCTGGGGTTTGCATCCAGCCCCCACATTGCAGCAGTCACAGTGGGAGCAGAGACTTGTTCCAGGAGCTGGCCTGGCAGGTTCGGTGTGCTACACACAGGGAGGTGGACGCCTTGAGGGAATGCAGTCCTGGGCTCTGGGTGACCAGCCACTCAGGGTCTGGAAAAAACAGAAGATGTACAAGTGCTGACCCACTTGCTCACAGCTCCCTGGCAGGAATGGGCTCTATGCCTATCTGGTGACCAACCACTGGGGCGCTCAAACTTTGGAATGAGAAGCCATGTGACCTGAATGCGTTATCACAAATGTCCTAGCTCTCAGTTTTTCCTTGAAATACAATGTTCCCCGATCACTGCCTGGGTTGAAAGGCCTGGCCCATTGCATGGGGCCAGGGCCTGGGAGCTGGGACCACAGCTGCTCAGCAGGCCCAAGACTCTGCTCTGGCTGCTTCTAGTGCAGGACTACAGAAGCTGGGCTCAGGGACCCTGAAGACATCTCTGAGGACATCTGTGGAGGTGTGGTCTGTGTGTCTACAGTCCCTGGGGCCCTTTTCCTGGTCAACAAACAGATGCTCAGGGAGCATCAAGGACTGTGCTTAGGCCACATAGCAGGTGCCATGTGTGAAGGGGCAGGCTGGCACCAGGCCCTCCGGGAGAATGACCTAACACACCTACCCAGGGTAGTAGCTGGGTGCAGGAGGAGGGCTGCCTCAGGCTCTGTGGCCAAACCAGTGGGCCAAGGGCATCCACTGCAAGGGCATGTACAGCCTTACCCTCCACCATAGGCACTATAGATTGGAGGGCTCCAGCCTCCATTTGGCTCAGCCTCGCTCCCAGCTCAACCTCCATCCAGGCTGGAGTCCTCAGGTAGACACTCACCCTCTCTGTAATGGGACAGAGACGGGCTGAGCGCAATGTGGAAATGCTTCTACCCTGGGGGTGGAGAATGGGGTGTCTCCAGTCTGCCCTGGGTCCACCCCAGAGCAGGGGGTGCTGCAGGCCCCTTGAGACCCAGCCAGGGACAGGGAGATGGGTGTCATGAGGGTTCCAATGAAAAGACCTCAAATCCTGCTATCCTGGTCAGAGGGGGCAGAAGGGACCTACTCCACAGTAGGTCACTTTCTCAGAAGAGAGCTCAGGTGAGCTGCTGAGTAGGGCTTCAAGAGGAGCAGAGCACTATTCTCAGGAAAAGCAAGAAATGGTATGTATGTATGTATGTATGTATGTATGTATGTATGTATGTACGTTGTATTTTAGGGAAGAAATTTCTATTTTCCAAGAGCTTTCTGGGTGTGTTTAAATAGTGGCCACAGGGTCTGAGGTGTGGCTCAGTGATAGAGTATTTGCCTTGTATGCATGAGGCTCTGGGTTCTGTCCCCATTACTGCAAATGCAACCCAACTCAACCCAACCCTCAGATGGTGACCCAAAACACGTCTCATCTAAACACTGTGACCACAGGATCTTAAAGTAGCAAGCAGGCGTAAACTGCCTAGGGTATGCTCAGGCCTGGGAAGGAGCCAGGGACAGCCAGCTTGGGACTGCCAGGTCCTCACAACCTCCAAAAGGTGGTCAGCTGCAGATGCTCGCCCCTTCCTGGGCACTCCCTGGGCACTCACCTGGGCACCCTACTCCTGGGGCGCCACCCCTAGGACAGGCTTCTGAACCCCGAAGGCAGTGATGAAGATGTTGACCACCACGATGATGAATACCAGTCCTGTGGCTAGGTTGTTCAGGAAGTCCAGCTTGGCATGCTTGTCTGGGTTGTTAAGGTCATACTTTACTGTGGGTAAGAAGAAACCAGCATGGTAACGGGACTCTGCCCAGAATCTTACAGGACCCTCAGCCACATTTAGGGTAAGTTTCATCCTCTCAGATAAAAACTGCCTATTTTACTCAAACCCTAACCGCAGGTCCTTAGGTCCTCCTTCTGTGGTCCCCCACTTTCCCCACAAGGAACTGAAGCCCACGCAGGTCATACCCCCTAGGTCACCCAAGGTCATGCCACTTCTGGACATCAAGCCAGCTGGATGTGGTTTGCAGCAAACGTGCTGAGCCCCTGCTACGCTTCAATCTATGGATCCTCCCAACTACCCAAGGCTCTTCTGTTCTACCCTTTCCCAGGGGGGAAAACAAGTCCCAGCAGGTCTATTCACATATCCCAAGCCATGCAGCCAGGAGGCAAAGCAGAAGTGATCTGGTGCCTGTGCTGCTCCAGGCCAGAATGGACCCTGGGGCCAGCCATTAAGTGTGCCCTTGGGGCCGGGGAGATAGCTCTGTAGAATAAGTGCTTGCCTGGCAAGCTCAAGGACCTGAGTTCAATCCCTGGTTCCGCAAAACCTGGGGTCCTGGCAGGAAAATGCAGCAGCCTGTGGAGCTCTGGATCCCCCACCGGGCCTAGCCGAGCTCTGCCTGCCTGTGTTCCCTGTGTCTGTGTGTCCATCAAGCACAGGAAGTCAGCATGATATCGAGTGACTCAGTTTTGGGAGAATGGAGTTCTAGCAGCTATCCCTTACATTGTGGATTCAGCCGGCTACCCCTTCCATGGACATGCTGGTCCTTGGCTCCAGGCCCAGGGGGTCCAGGGTCTCCTCCTCACCTCCTAGCTTGGCTACTCTTTTACCACTGGACAGTTGTCACAGAGCTGGGCAGCTGTGCTACCACTGGGGTTGTGGGACTGGTCAGACTAAGCAGTGGGAGGCAGGATACTCCGGGCATCTGGGATGCTATCCTATCCCCTGCCCCATACACCCTGCCCTCGGGTCCAAGAGCACCCACCCTGGCTGTGTACAGACACCAACCAAGGAAGATGAGCAGCACCCCCACGCTGATCTGCAGGACCAGGGAGATGGAGATGAGGACCACCAGGGGCACGAAGAAGGCGAAGGCAGGGCCCTGCTCCACCACAGCCTTCAGCTGCGACGCGTTGGCCATGAGCAGTGCGATGTCCAGCATGCTCTCGGCAGCGCTCTTCTTGTTGGCGTAATGGTTCACGTTGATGGGGTGGTTCCTCCGGCCCCAGCGGGATGGCAGCTGTAGGGAGGGGGACACTCAGTAGGGCAGGGGAGGAAGGGGACTTAAGGACAAAGGGAGAGTGGTCTACAGACAAGGGATGGCGGGGGTGAGGCTGCAGCCTCAGGGAGGCTGGAGGGACCTGGCCAAGAGCGTGACAGGGGCTGGCTTCCGCCACCCACCCATGGCAAATGCCTATTACTCTGGGAAGAGAGTGTACTCCATCTTTGCAATATGGGGAGAGAAAGGGAACATCCAACAGCCACTTGCACTCTGGTTTTCAGCTGGAAAAAGGTGCTAGGCCCCTGCTCTCTGCCCTGGGACAGAGGACGAAATCCTCCTGCCCTCCAGCCTGCCTGTGCCCTCAGGGTCCAGATTCCTGTCTAGCTGTTGGAATACATGAGTAGCAGATCCAGACATACTGGTCTAGGCTTGAAATAGGCCCTTTCTGGGCTGTGCTCAAAATCATTGCTGCCTTGGTCACTGGTCACCTCAGACCCCTTTGCTTTCCACACCCTACCTCCTCAGCCTCAGGGTCACTCTGCAGAAGTCTGACCACCTTCCCTAGCCACATTCTGCTCAAGGATGAATCCCCCAGCACACAGCAGGCCTGCAATCGATGGCTTGGCACCCGGCACAGTTAGGCTCAGCACACAGAAACACGAAAGTACACACTGTCTGGTGACACTGGGGTCCAAGCCCCCTCCCAGCCCAGGTGACACTGCCAGCATCACCTCCATCTTCCTAACCCAGCAAGTCTAGAGGGACCCTGTAGTCCCCTATATTCCCAATGTCTTTCCTTGTTACCATATATTCTCATGCTCTGGGTTTTGTTTAGGCTTAGTCTGTTTTTTTCGAGGCAGGGTCTCCTGTAGTCCAGGGTGGTCTTGAATTCACTATGTAGCACAGGCTGGCCTGGAGCACTCCACAATCCTCCTGCCTCAGCCTCTGGCATTCTGGGATCACAGGTGTGCACCACCATTCCCAGAAAATACCCTCACGCTAAGGGCTTCCCCTGGCGTCTCCCATGACATCTCCTAGCAGGATGAGGCCCTCTTCTGCCATGGAAAGTCACTTCTCAGACTGGTGCGTTTCATTCAAGGCAGCTTTAGGTGTCCAGTTTCTTTCTGTTGAGCCAGCTGGCCCACTTCAAGCTACCCTTGGTCACACCCCTTCGCAGGAACTGAAGAAAATCTCATAGCCCCAGGTCCTGGCTCAATGTTCACATGTGACCCTGAGTCACCCAGCTCTGCACTGAAGCTTCTAGGATTTAAGTGGTGGTCAGAATGGTGGCCTGGGTCCAGTACCAGTGACCCTGAGCCCCTGGGAAATCCTATTTCCAGGCTCATGAAAGATGCAGGAACAGGAGGATGGTGCCAAAGAGGGGTGGATATCAGCAGTCACGTGGCCACTTCTGCAACCTGTAAAGAAAGCTAGGAGCAGCTGATACAGGGGACAAATGGGGCGGGGACTTTGCTTTGATCCTGTTAAGTTTAAATTTCATCTCAAACAATGTGTCTAGGAAGAAGGCAGGGTGGTGTCAGGAACAACAGGTAGGTTCTGCCACCTGTACCTCAGTCAGAACATTACAACCACCTGTCCTTGGCATCAAGTGCTCTCTGCCAACAAGTGCACCTGGGTCAAAATTCCACATGGGTATGGAGGTACCCATACAAGGTATGGGAGTGTACCCCTCCCTACATGGAGGTACTCCACAAGGGTAGGTGGCTAAGGCAGGAGGACTGCCTTGAGTTTGAGGCCAATCTGGATTACATAGTGAGATCCCATCTCAACAAAACAAAACAAAATTCTCAACTCCAGAATGCACACGGAAAGCTAGCCAGACCTGGGTGGCCACCAGTGCCAGCCTTGTAGCCCCAGTGCAGCCCTGGGATCCCTGCAAGTGTATCACCAAGCCCCCGTGGTAGCCGCACTCTGTGGACTCTGCTAGGCAGTGGCTGAACCTCCCAGCTGCCAATGGCTTGGCTACAGACAGCTCAAGCCTGCCAGTGCCCAGCACTGAGGTCATTCTCAGCTCTGTCCTCACAAAGGGTCCAGCCCACCATGGATGTGCTCTGCCAGGAGCCAGGGATCTAGACATCACAGGCCCACAGCAGGGATGTACTCCCGAAGTGCCATACTGCCTTCCATTAGGGCTGCCCCAAGGGTTCCTCTGGATGTGGGCTCTGCCTTGGGAGATAAAAGCCAGATGCAGACCCTAATGGAGTTCCTACCTTTTAGAGGAAGGATTCCATATACATACACAAACATATGTGCACATACACAGATATATGCAGATAGAGACATCCACAAACATATGCATACACATATATACAACATACACACATGAACATGGCAAACACACATGCCCACTTCATATCACAATATACACATACCATGTACACATAAATGTACATGTAAACATGCAGATACATATAGGCCTGCATGCACAACAGATGTCAATACACATACACCTATTCAGACCTACATATATATAATACACACACATATAACATCTATAAATGCCACTTCCACACATATACTGAGTACATGCATATGTGTAAATACAACACATGCATTCAACTAGCATGCCCTCATGCACATATGACACAACGCACAAGCACATACATGCTATGCACACACAAACATAAACATACACCTAGGCTAAGTTGGTGGCCTCTGAGCAGTTGGAAGATTTTTGCTTCTGGCTTCTGGGGTTGAAACCAGGGTGCCCTGAACTATACCCCTAGTCTCCTTTCATTTTTTGAGACAAGTCTCACCAAGTTGCCTAGGCTGGCTCCAAACTCAAGATCCTTACGCCTCAGCCTTCCGTGTGCCACTGTGCTTAGTTGGAAGAACACTTCACTCTGAACACTTCTGAACCACGTGCCTATTTCATGGCCACATGGTCATGAGGCTGTTCGGACACACAAATGAGCACCATCAGCAGCTGAGCCCCACACCCAGGCTCCCAGCCAGGCTCTCCATGAGCGCAGACAGGGGGCCTGTGGCCCCGCTGTACTTACAGCTGCCTGTTTAAAATGAGGTTTAGTGCAGAGGCTCCTTATGCACAGCCACACAGCAAGAGAAGGCCGAGGGGACTTATAATGCAGGCCCTGGGGCTCAGAGCCCCGGGGCTAGAACCACTGTTCCTTCTGTCTTATCAAGGAGGGCTGGGTGCACCCGTGGGGTGAGCTTCCAAGGGCTCCCTGTCCCAAACTCTAAGCCTTGGTCTCTCCGTGTGCCACAGAGCTATGCAGCAAATGCCCCTGGATGGCCTGGTGTCTTGGGGCCAGCAGAAGCCCTGGTTCAGTGACCCTCCTAGAGAAGGGCATAAGGAATGCAGGCCTGGCCACAAGCCCAGAGGCCAGGGGAGCCTCTCTGTACATTATTCTCCCTCTATAGACCAGAACACTGAGGCTTGCAGGCTCTGCCCAGGACACCTCCAAGGCAGAGCACAATTCAGATCCAGGCCGAGGGTCGAAGCCTAGTACTACACCAGGGCAGGCATCACTGGACCCACCCAGGGAAGGGCCACTGAAGCTGAGTGTGCTGAAGGGACTCCATGAGAAGGGGAAAGGGCTATGCACCAGGCCTCCCAGGCAGTGATGGTGGCACTGGTGAGTCCAGGTAGAGAGCCAGATGGGCCTGACCAGATATCAGTAGCATGCGAGGAAAGCCCCTAGGCCTGGGCCTATGTCAGTGCCCTGAGCCTTGCAAGAAGCAAATACCCCAGTTAATATGTTACCAGGGACAACAGGAGTTCTGAACCCCTGGCAAGGCCCAGCGCTGGGGAGGCGGTAGACTGCTTTCCTCTAAGCAGCAGGATAATGCTTTGAGGATATATACAGAGTAGGTCATTGGTGCAGGGTGCTGCCTCCTGTGCACAGCTGGGCAGTACAAGTGGGGTCCAGCTGTGTGGTCCTGGGGCCACCTGAGGGGAAAGGTCCACAGCTGAAGAGGAGGTGGTGGCTAGGATAGCAGAGCATCTGAACCAGGCCTGCTGCACTCACAGCTGGGTTTGGCCATACAGCAAGGGTGCTGTAGGTACCCCGGGTTTGGACAGGGGGACTTTGGCCATCAACTGGACCCATAAAGGTGGTGACACATACAGGTGACACTGCTACAGGCCTGCACAGGGAGAATGGTAGAGGGTATCATCACACCTCCTCCATCATTCCCAACCTCAGCCTAACCCAGTGGGACTAACCTCCACATTCCTCAGAGAGCCCCACCAGCTCATAATTAACTGTGCACAAACAAAAACAACAGCTAGAAAAGACCAGGGCTGAGTAGGCTTAAGGCCAGTTGCTATCCTGGGTGACCTGGCCAGCCTGCTCAGGGGCCTATCTCTGGGGCCCAGCTAGGAACCAGGAGATGGTGGAGCAAGCTGAGAATGGCCTCCCTGCAGACTGAGCTGGACAGGAGCTGTCAGCCCACCCTCCAAACCAGGCTTGGCACAAAGCCCTGTCTCAGGCCAGGGGTAGTTGCAGAGTTTAGTGCTCTGAGGCCTATGCCTTCCCAGGAAGCAGGACCTGAGGGTCTCCAGCCTCCATGTCTGTATTCCTGGCAGGAAACCTCAGCAGGAAGTGCAGAAGGCGGGTCCCCATGGCAGCTGGGTCACCAACTGGGCCAGGCTGGGCAGGCCCACTTCCTGTGGGCTCAGTGCTGACCAGGAATGACCCCAAGGTCCATCCACATTGCCTTCACAACTTGGCTATGACCCTGCCTCTTTCAGGAACTGCCAGTTAAGCAGAAATGAGGGAAAGCAGAAGCTTCCCTGGTAGCTGAATTTACACCTGGGCCGGGGTCGGTAGCCATGGAAGACACAATGCTGTAGTCCAGAGGCTCGAGGTGTGGCCCTAGGAACTTCACTCTGGGGGCTGTGAGAGTCAGGAGGGCTTGGCTAATAACAGAGGGCTGTGCCTCAGCTACATTTTGGCCACCTGTCTCCTGCTGTGTCTAACACAGAAACTGTCTCCAGAGTCATGCCCAGGGCATGCTGCAGCAGTAGGCAATTT